TGTAATATTTGCGATCGGCGTTGATCCCATATGAATATAAATTGATGTACTTGTGAAAATCCGAATGGCGAGCAGTAAAAATTAAACGTGAATGAATTTTTTTTTTTTTTTTTAAATAAAATAATAAAATAAGAATATATAATAAATAAATATAAAGTGAAGTGTGTGGAAATCAGTGTAATCAATTAAGCTTAGTCGATATATAATTAGAGTTGGATAAAATTAATAGAAAGGTGAGTTATATAATAAAATTAAATAATGGTATGTGAAATAAGAGTATAAAAATAAGGTTTTAGAATGAAAAAGAAATAAAATAAGAGAGTAAAAATCAAATAGAAGAAAGAAGAGACAAGCCTCACGTGGTTGCCCTGTGTTGTATTTTTTTTTTTTTTTTTTTTTAATAAAATAAAATAATAATAAAAAAAGTGTCATACCAAGAGATCAAAATACACATGGGCTGCTATGGTCTATTATTGTGTAAAGGACAATATGAGAACCCACAGATTGCGGCGAGAGAGGCCTCGCAAAAAGCAGGGAAATTTTCCAGACTTGTTTTTTTTTTTTTTTTTTGTTTTTTTTTCTCTGATTGTTTAAAGAGTAGTGGAACTCCAATCACTGTATTCCCATCTTCGATTCGAATCGAGTGTGTTTATGCACATAGACTTTGTTTTAATCAGTGATGAGAAATCAAGTTGTTGAAGATTCGACTCGTGAGAGGAGTAGATCTGAGATTCGCGACGCACAATGATAAGTCCTGGTAGTAGCCTGCATACATCTTCCGATCCGTCAGCCTCCTTGGATCTTTGGAGTAGATTAGTGCTGGAGAGTGTAGGAGAGTCTCGGCGCTTTGCCGAGGCAAGCGCTTTGCGTTATGAAGGGGCCTAATCTTCGCCGTTGCAGAGTGGAGCGAAAAAGGATTGAGTGTCGAGTTATTGTCGTCGAGTCGCCGTGTCTTGTTGGCGCCTTAACGACCTCCGGGCGAGATTTGAGGTCTTGATAGGTGTGATACCGCGGCAAGCACTTTCCAGATTTCTGTCATTCAAGGCTCAATCTGTAGGCTTCCATTGAGGATCAATGGTGCTCTTGTATGAGGTTCAAAATCCACATTTGAAAACCTGAGATTTCTTCCCGGATAGCGCTTCATGAACCATAGCTTTCTTGTCAGATGCTGACGCAATTCCATGCCTTAATTCCCCAGGACTCTCCATGGATTGTTGATTGCAATTGAATGGATTAAGTGTGGGGTATTTTTTCTTAGCCCAGATCTCTCTGTCTTCACCCAACGAGAGAGAGAAGAGAGATTTGGGAGGGAGAGAGCCTGAGCTGGTGATCGATAGCCTCAGTTATGGTTGATGTTGGCAGCGTATGGAAGGTATGTGAGAGTTTCCAGGCGTCTGCCCAATGTGAGCTGCCGCCGCCGGTGAAGCAGAAATTACTATGCTTCTCAACCTTGCTCTTGTATACCATGTAAAAATTCTATGTATTTATTTGTTATTATATTCTGATTTACAAGATTATGTTGAAATATTGTATTACCAAATCAAAATCATGGCATATTATAAAGAGTGGTTGGGGTTTAGTATTTGTTATGGGATATGGTATGTGATATTGTGTGCTATGAGATGTAGTAGGATAAATTTGGTTAAATTTAACACGGATTGGGATTTAGGAGTAAAAAACATCCTAAAAACTTAGGCTTTGAAATGAGCTTCGGGGGTGCGAAGAATGCAAAACACTCTCTTGAACCACTTCTAGGTAGGTCTTTACGGACACTTCTCTATACATATAAACCTGATCGAGACAGACACATGTAATTTGCACACTTAGTTGGAGTAGATTGAAAACACATAAAGCTTAAGTTAGAGTCGAAAATGCCTTAGACTTAGTCAAAAGGCGAAAATCCAAAATAGCACCCAAACCACTCTATGGATGTCACAGGCAGCTTCCTCGTGACAAATAGGACCTGTGGGGATAGACAGCATGTAATTAACACACATAGGTTGGGAGTTAGAGTCGAAAACGCCTTAAACTTAGTCAAAAAAGGGTGTTCAGGGGGCAAAAATACAAAACAGTCCCGAACCACTCTATGGATGTAACGGGCAACTTCCTCATGACAAATAGGACCTGTGAGGACAGACGGCATGTAATTAATACACATAGGTTGGGAGTTATCGTCGAAAACGCCTCAAACTTAGTCGAAAAAGAGTGTTCAGAGGGTGAAAATACAAAACAACTCCGAACCAGTCTATGTATGTCACATGAATTTGCAAATTAAACAAACAACTACAAGTAATGCAACACATAAAATAGGTAATGAAGAAATCCAAGTCTAATTTTTCAATTGTAAAAAACCAACATGACCGAGCGTTTGGAAATTCCTTTTCAGAATCCAACAAAGATGTTGTCTGAATCCAATAATAGTGAATCACGACTAAGCTAAGCTAAGGCTTGATTGGCAAGGGTAGATATAGCGCATAGCTCGCGACTAAGCTAAACTTTACAATTGGGTTTAAACTTATCATTAGTTCATGCAAATTTCCATGTTACTGCAGGGACTGATGATGGTTTGGAACAATGGGGATATGTTGAAGTTCAACCCAGTATGTCAAATTTTTCTATGAAATCTGAAAACAATATCCCCCAACTACTTTATTCTTGTGGTGGTTGTCAATAGGTCAACTATGCGCACATAAACCAATCACAGAACCGGATGCAAAACATGGACAGGTGTTTGAACCTGTGACTGGTTTTCTGTGTTCCTAGCATTAATCTCTTGTCAATAGTGTAATTCTTAGTACTATTTATCAGCACCTTATTCATTGTTGTGCATTGTGTAATGTAGAGGCCCACATGTTTTGGTGGCTTTAAGTCCTCAAAGAGTTGAGGATCCTTCCAATCCATGGCCTATAATTTTATGGCTCCAAGGAGGTCTTGTAAGTAGTTCCAGTAAAACATGAAACTACCAACAAAAAAAAAATGCACTATTCATAGGGGACTTCTGGAGTTGGGTTTGGAAATTTCTTAGAAATCGGACAATTAGACATGGATTTGATGCCACTAAATTCAACATGGCTCACCAAAGCCGATCTCTTATCTGTGGTAAATTTCACATCCACATACCTTCTTCTTTTTCTTTTTTTTTAATCATAATAACTTAATGAACTTTAATTTTTGTAGTTTCATGTGATCTGTGTTTGTTCTTGTAAGACAGCCCGGTTGGAACCAGATTTAGTTATGTACAACATGCGAGTCTGGTAGTTAGGACCGATGCAGAGGCAGCGATTGATTTGACTTCGATGTTGGAGGCCCTTTTCAATGGAAATGAAACCTTACAAAAGAGTCCTCTGTTCATTATTGCAGAGTCATATGGAGGAAAATTTGCAGTTACTCTTGGGTTATTGGCTCTTAAAGCTATCGAAGCAGAGGAATTAAAGCTACAACTTGGAGGTAATAGTTACTGTCTACTGTTTTGGAAGTACTTTTCTTGCTTTTGATAGCAATGATTGGTTCAAAATTCAGTATTCATATAAACATAAAGAACTTGTTTTGTATTGTTTTTATTTGTATTTATTTATTTTTTTGTGTTTTTTGAAACAAAACAATGAAAAGTTTGAAAATAATCACTCTTTTCAAGTCGTTTTCATTTTTGTGCAAAAACAGTTTTTTAAAATTCAGAAAATATTTTTAAAGTGTTTCCTAGAAAATGGTGCTCTTAGAAAAAGTCCCTGAAAGCAGTTTTTAGAAACCAAACAAATTTCTGTATCAGCTGCCATTTTTTGCTTTTTGAGAGCAAAATATAGAAAGCAAAAACTATAGAAAATTTGTGTCCAATAATTACCCTCTAAATACGACCTTTTTTTTCCTAATTCTTGCATTCTTGCATTGTAGTATATAAGAGTTGCTTTGGGAGACAGTTGGATTTCTCCTGTAGATTATGTGGTATGCTGGTTGCTTGATTATAACCAAATCTCTTTATCTGTTTGGTATAAAAGAAAATTAAATTTGGTTCATTTAATTTGAATATACGTATTGTACATGTGAAGTTTTCATGAGGACCTCTTCTCAAGGACTTGTCACGACTCGATAGCAATGCCTTGTACAGTTCAAACAGGTTTTGTTAAAATTGCTTTTTGAAACAAATTTTGAATAAAGAGAGTGAATATACTCTTAGCCTAACCACGATACATGCAAGAGCAGTTTAGCGCAAAATATTAAGAAGGAAATTGCAGAAGGAAAGTATGAAGCTGCAACAAACACTTGGGAAGTGCTTGAGAATTTTATTTCAGCAAACAGTAATGATGTGGTAAGTCCCTATCGACACACACAGAGACATAGACACAGACAAACACTAGCATAGATATATACAACTGGGATTTAGAATGTTGAGTCACTTTGTGTTTGAATTGCAGGACTTCTATAACTTCATGTTGGATCATGGCAATGACCCCGTTGAATCAAGAACGTTTGATTCAAATGGACTATTGGTGGATAGGTACTCGACATATATGAGCACCAAGATATTTTCATTGACTAATGGTGCATTGGGTCCTGACCTTGGTACAGTGATGAACGGGCCTATAAAACAGAAGCTATTCCAGAGAACGTAACGTAAGTTGTCCCGTGCTATTAAAACAAATTATTTGAAAACAAAGCGGGTGTGATGCATGACTATAAAATTCTACATATAACAATTTTACCCAAAATCGTGTAGGTGGGATGGACAGGGTGGAATTGTTTTCTCAGCCATGGCTGGAGACTTCATGAAACCAAGAATCAAAGAGTAAATATGACTATTTCAATGTTTAAACTCACTTGCAAGTTGCACCTAAGAAATGACTGTTTTCGGTTGTAGACAACATGAAGTTAAATTGGGCATTATGGTAATTCTCAATCAACAATTTCAAATTACCTTCCATTTACTTGGCCCTGTGAAGAATGAAATGGAATTGGACTAATAATGTTTACTCTTTTTCTTTCCAAGTCCAATTTAGAGCTATTGGCTATTTGTTTGTTTGCTAGAGTTGGAATAAGTCCACGAGCACAAAAATAGGTTATAGAATACACATGGAATGATAAGATTTTCAAAAAGTGGACCCCACTAACAAACCTAAAAAATCTTGTTTATTCATGTGTATTTTGTGTCCAATTTTATGTGTTCGTAGAAGAACTCCTTTGAGTTATAACCTTTGTCGCATTTTTTAGGTTGATAAACTCCTGGTCAAAGGCATAAATGTGACCATTTACAATGGACAGGTATTATGAATATCTTGTGATTATCAATGTAGATGAACATGTTAGATAGAAATTAGAGAACTTTGGATGAAAAGAGTGTAGACAAGGATATACTTCATTTTAGAACAACAATGCAATGCAATGAAAATAAGAGTAGAGTTGTTACGATAGATTCTTTAAGAAGATTAATTTCCTCCAAAGTCTTGCATTTATTTGGTTTTGATATGTTATGTATGACAGATTGGTCTCATATGTGCAACCAAAGGAACAGAAGCATGGGTTGACAAACTCAAGTGACGGTTCTTTCCATTTTAAATTTATGCTTCTTTTGTCTTTGTAAAAAACGTTTTATGCAGAAAACATTTTTTGGAAAATGTATTTTGGATTTCTGTGAGATTTGCTAATAAGCTAAATTTTGCAGATGGGAAGGTTTGAAAAACTATTTGAACTTGAGCCGAACTCCTTTGTTCTGTGGAGAAGATAATATAACTACAAAAGCATTCGTAAGGTCCTACAAAATCCTCTTCTTCTATTGGATTCTTGGAGCTAGCCACTTCGTAAGTGTGATTCTATAACATTATTATTGCCTCTTATAGTCACTGTTATTGTTCTTATCGTCATCATTCTTAGCCATGGTTTTTCAATTCATTAGTACTAAATTGATATCTAAACAACCGAAAGCAGAGTTTAAAACATTGCTATACTCAGATTAATCTCACAAGATTGATGTGTCTTATGTAAAAGTAAATATCAAGTAAATCATCATTTTCGACTAGATTCTAAGCAAAGACCGGTTCGTGGACATTGATACTTGCAATTGCCCCTATTCACCACCCCTAGGTCCATCCTTGCTCCTAAATTTTTTAGGCTCACATTCACTACCAATAAACTACATTCAAGGCATGATCAAACAAGTAGACATTGATACTTGGTTGATAATAGCACTCACAATGTCAGAAAGTGGGCAGGGTTGGTGCAGTTCTATCTATTGTTTATGAAATAGAAGTAACATAAATAAGGTGAAGAAAATTGATTATTGAGAAGCAGAGGAAGGAATGCTTTAATTTCCGCTTTTTGATAATCAACTTTCAAGAAGTCATACCAAACAAACTCTAAATCCTCTTTATTTCTGCTTTTAATGATTCAACATGGGAGAGCCAACTTATTAGTGCTCTCCCTGGTGCTCCATTTTTAGTGTTCTCAAACATTTTTGTTAAAGTTTTATTATAAGGAAGTTTTGACCAAATTCTCCAAAGTTTTACTTAATAACTAATTGACCCCAACAAATTAAAAATAGCAATCCACCCACTACGGAACCAAAGTATCTGCTTGGTTTAATTTTTCAAAAAGTACTTTTCAGAAAATTTTACTTTTTTTATTTTCTGTGTTTTTTTGTTTTTACTGAATTTTTTTAATATTTAAATATTTTTTTACATTTTAGACACGCATAACATAAATACACCTAAAAAGTAAAAAAATTGTAAAAAAATCTTTTAAAAATTCACTAAATACTAAAAATATATAATAAAAAAAATACAAGAATTCAGTACGTTTTTTATATTTCTATGTATTTATTAATTTTTTCACAAATTTTTTACTTTTTAGATACATCTAAGTAAGATGTATCTAAAAAAGCTAAAAAAATATTTTAAACTTTAAAAATATTCACTAAAAAATAAAAAAAAAAAACTAAAAAACTTAATTTTCAAAAAACTTAATCCAGAAAACTCAAACCAAACATACTAATTAAAATTCGGGAAACTTTTTGATACACACCGTCTTGTACACATTTGTCATATATGTTATGCATTTTTATAATAAATATTAAATTTTTTTAATTATAATATTATGATAAATTGTGATTCAAAAATAAAATTACTTATTTTATAATAATGTTACGCATTAATATTACTTATTTTTTTATCTATCATTTTATAACTACGAAATATATAACATATCACAAAAATATATAATTTTATTTTTAAACTATAAATTGTAGTAATATTTGCACAAAAATAAATAACATGTACCACAAGAATTCATTGACATTCGAGGTCCGAGTAATTTCCTTTCCCACAAATTTGACAGGTTAATCCATAACTTTGAAATATGTCTCCTGTTCTCCCACGGTTATTATTGTATTCACATCCTCTGTACTGAAAACCTTGAGATCTGTCATCCATGTTATTGTTGTTAGAAATTGTTGGAAAAAACTTGGAAATAAAACATAATTTTTTTTTAACTTTGGTCTATTTTTTAAGTAGGACCAATACATCAAAATTAGCGGGTCTAAGTGGTAACGCGTTCTATACCGCGTTGTGATTCACGTGGTATATTTGGCTGCTCAAAACCATTATCGGGTGAATGAGAAATTGAAACCAAAGTGAGCTCCATGAAAATGGAGTTTTTGGTAAAAATTCCTTAAAGTTTGAATATTGACTTGTGCCACATTGATTTGGTGGGATACTTTGAGTGGGTTTATAAGGCTTTGTGACGCCCCAAATTTTTTGAAATATCAAGGGAAATTAAATAAACAAAATGACTTAATAAACCAAAAAGTTGACATCTTAATAGGGTAATCCAACTCTCGTACATAACCAAATGTCCAAATAACAATAGATAAAAACTTAAAATTATTCAAATACAACATCAAATGAAATTATAAGGTCCTTAATAGCTATTATATAAAATAATATAATTTATTCGGCTCTACTCGGGGTTTCAGGTCAGCCAAGGCTCTACGTTAGCGCCGACTCCATTTCAGCTTCAATTATTTTCTCGCCAAGACCTGGCATAAAACGCCAGGGCAACAAAAATATATGCCATGAGTTTTGCAACACAGTAAGAAAACATAACCAACCTACTATTCTTTTTAAGAGAAAAATAATGAGATTATAAAAACGAAATAATAATATAATTGTAAACATGAATTACAACCATTAAAATAATTTCAATAATTTTAATAAATTATGTGACACTCGAAATCTCACCAAAGAGATTGAACTTACCAACCACTAAGTATGGCAACGGTTAATTTGAAACCCTCCCTTGGTCAAATATTTTAGTGTTGCCAACCGTAACTACCAGGGATGCCCACGTCCGGAGTTATATACCCAAGTAGTAGCATCCGCGGTATGCCCCAAGGAAACGGTCTGCCAGGGATACGTAACCTCCCTATGTGCCACCGGCACATCCATCCTTATTCCAAAACCAAATACCGAAAAGGGTTCAAATAAGTCCCGTGACATCTTAGAGTTTCACAACACAATTTACGTGAGAATTCTCAAAACCAGGGCTCACTCTGAACAACCGGTATTAACCATCAATCCCTTGATTTCATACACTCTATAAAACCAAGACTCACTCTGAAAACGGATATTAATCGTCAATTGTTAACTTTGTATATGCCTTTAATCCTTTCAGTTAATTTTGATATTAATCACAAATAATTCCAATTTTCAATCACAAATGATGTTATACCAACTCATTAAAATTCCCAACATAAAATATTACACATGTCACACAATAATAAATAAATGTACAGCATTTAAATAAACAATTTATTTAAACTATGGTATGAAATAATAATTTGGATACAAAGAAAAAAAACCAAAGTCACACACGTACATGGAT